ACTATTATTTTGGGTTTCTTGTCTCAGCACGTGATTCATAGGTTATGGTGTCCTCACGTCCGCACATTTCTTTCAGCTCTTGTCATTCCAACTGAAGAGAGACCATTTGACGTTGATTGCTGTGTGCAAGCATTTAAAACCTTTGAAAGAATACAGTATACAAGGGATACTGCTATTATTATTATTTTGATTTGAGACAGAGTTTTGCTCCTTTTGCCCAGGCTGGAGTGCAATGGCATGATCTCGGCTCACTGCAACCTCCACCTCCCGAGTTCAAGTGATTCTCCCACTTCAGCCTCCTAAGAAGCTGGGATTACAGATGCCTGCCACCACATCCAGCTAATTTTGTATTTTTAGTAAAGAGAGTGTTTAATCATGTTGGCCAGGCTGGTCTCAAACTCCTGACCTCAGGCTACCTGCTCACCTTAGCCTCCTAAAGTGCTGGGATTACAGGTGTGAGCCACCGCGCCCGGCTGAGACTACTGTTACGAGTATCAGGAGGATAATACCAAGAGTTTGGAGTATGCTCCGTACCCAGAGTTCCCACACACCGAACCACCTAAAATCAAATAGAAGAATGAGCTAGATAAAGAGCCTACTCATTTAACTAAGTAATCTCTTCGTTAATCCCCTACCAATGAATCTCTATACTTTTCATTTAATGTATTTCTCCATAGGCCACAAGTGCCAGCAGCTGCACAGATACTTCTCTGTTCAGCCAATTCTATCATAACTTTCACAAGAGAATTTAAAGTCTGTTGTGTAACTGTAGCCTTTACAGTGGGATTTGTCACAGAGCCTATCGTGAGGGACACATTTCTAATCATTACTTCTTTAGCAGTGGAAAAGGACGATGGAAAAAGGACCTAACAAATGTTAGATGCCCTTCTAGCAAAGTTCTCTTTAACTTGTGATGTGGGTTAAGAGGAGTGAACCAATGTTCTGTTTCTGACTGATTATGAGGCAATGTGTGTACCATTAAAGTTTCTCACCTGCATTGGGCCTTTGTCTTTCATCTGTCAAAGTATAAGGTTATGCATACATGAGGCTGGCTGCAAAATCCTTCACAAATAAAAGTGTACCCCATAAGTGCACAAAACAGACCCCCTTTTCACTTCTGTTGTTCATAGAGGCATAAACAAAAAGTATGCAAAGATAAGAGTCTCATACTAGTAGAAGTCTTGACCTGTGATCTTGGGAAAAGCTGTTCACATCAAGGATGCCATATTATTCTAGGGAAAGACTTCCGTGGTGAGCTTTCCCTTAAGGGTTTCAATGGGTGTACAGTTCCAAGAGTGCGGAGGGACCCTTCTCAGTTGTGAGATTATAAATCCAAAGTTCAAGGTTCCAAAGTTTTGCTGCAATGTGGATGGCAAGGACAGTCTTTCTCCGATGTTCTCAGAAAGGTTAATCTTCAGGTTCTAGATTGCAAAGGGGTTGATTGTCCTCCATGAACCATAAAAAGCTTTCTCTACCTGGTGAAAATACACTGTAGTGTGTCCTCTTACATGGGAGAGCTTTTATACAATCAGAAAACATGCATTGAAAATAACAATTGAATGAAATCACTTTATAAATTGTTTACATGGTCCATCAGGTGACCAAATGTACCTGAAGCTTTGATTGTTTTCCCAGGAATATGGGACCAAACATTGATTATAAACTATTTTGGTAATTTATAAGTCTTCACACCAACATATTTTATTTGGATCATTTTATCTTTTCCATGATGAGTTATGGAATGCAGAACTTTTAATAATAAAAGCTTTAAAGACTCAGGACAAGGTGGCCATCCTGGTTCTCTATGAGTCCGTGCTTAAACAATGTTAGACTTATATCCTCTTGAATACCAGTTGTTTCTCCAAGTTAGGTGCATACCACTGGTAACTGATGGGTTATCATAGGTAATTTGACTTAGATTGTGGAGTTCATTCAAATTGTATATCTAAACAAATTAACAGCTGGTTTAACATGAAAATTTGACAGAAAGTATTTTCTTGGTATTCAACTCTTGTTCTACTTGGGTTAGCAGCTTTATACAAGAAAATTTGGTTATTCTGTCATTTAACCCTTTAAACTAGGCAAAAATTTACATTCCCATGCTTTCTTATAGTCTTTTACCAAAAACATCTTCCACTTTTCTTACACACCTTGCATGTAAAACTGTTTCTTCAGTAGTCTTAATTACATGTTATATTGTTATCTCTTAGCGACTTTTCTTTTGGTGAAAACTTTGATAAGTTCAGGATTTTAATTGTGTACTACGTGTGGAGGAGCCTAGAACCCAGACAGAAATGCAGATAAAGTCTGACTGTTTCCACTGTCTAACTCCAAGTGTCCCAGGACTTACCTAGCTGTAAAACAGGCAAGTTGTACAGTTAAGAGTCATAGTGGCATTTATGAAGCATTTAGGAGGCCTAATCATTTTTAAATTATACATTTCTTGCATAAATTCTTTCATAAATTCTTTCATGACTTACAGACCATCTGTGGCATGCTTAGGCTTTCCGACTTGTCCTAAACATTCCTCTTTTAAACAACCAGTTACTTTACTTTAGGACAAGAATTTATCATACAAGATTCTTTCTTATATAAAATCTCTTATTTATAACCGTCTTTGAATAGCTAAAGGGCTTGGCTAATTTCACCTGTCCCCAGGACTTATCTAAAATCTAATGCTCCAAAATGAACAATTTTTAAAAGTCAAAGAAGCAACGCCAGGTACGGTGGCTCACGCCTGTAATCCCAGCACTTTGGGAGGCCGAGGTGGGTGGATCACGAGGTAAAGAGATTGAGACCATCCTGGCCAACATGGTAAACCCTGTTTCTACTAAAAACACAAAAATTAGCCGGGCATTTGGCACACGCCTGTAGTCCCAGCTACTTGGGAGGCTGAGGCAGAAGAATCGTTTGTACCCGGGAGGCAGCAGTTGTAGTGAGCCGAGACTGTGCCACCATGCTCCAGCCTGGGAACAGAGCAANAAAAAAAAAAAAAAAAAAAAAAAAAAAAAAAAAAAAAAAAAAAAAAAAAAAAAAGAAAGAAAGAAAAAGAAAAAAGTCAAGCAATTTAAAGCACTTAGCAAATAAAATAAATTTTTTAAATCTGACTGGCATAATTTATATTTATATAATTTATATAAATATAATTTATATTTATAAACACCAAATGTTTATATTTATAAAAATATTTTTATTTTACCAATAACCTTTAAAACTGTCTTTATTTCCCAGATATTGCTTAAGTCATAGGAGCTAAATGGTAGGCATTACACTTCTTACTTTTCTGACGAAATATTTGATTTAAGCTTTTATTATTATTAAACCAATTAATTAAAACTCTTTCATATTATATACACAACACATATAAATAAACAGATAGAAGATAAAAGATTCATTCCCTGAGCCACCATTGTGAAAAGATAAAGTATAGCCACATGGTTATAAGGTCAAGCTACCAAGGACATGAGGGACCAATTCTCTGGGCCATCTTGAATAGTGGGCCTTTGGGGCTCTAGGCACACATTTTATCCTAAGGCTCCCCTCTTTATGAGAGAACAATACAGAAAAACACAAAGCACACCAGATTCACTATAGCTTAACACCAGTCTCAGAATTCCTGTTGTATTAATTAAAGCTTTATAGAGGAGATAAACAGTGACATTTACCTTTCATTTAAACAGTTTGCACAAAGAGAGAGAGACCAGAGTCTGACTAGTAAGAAATTCTTGCCCTTTTGCCAGCATGCCAGGTTCTGGGTTCTTTCTCTCTGAGCGGCCCTAGTGACCCTGCTTGATGTATGCAAACAAACACATTCCAATGAATTAAGAATATTCAAAAATAGTTTACAAGTTTTGGAGGAATTAGGCAAAGAGAGAAATGACTCAGATTCTGCTTACAAAAATATAATCAAGATACTTCACCAAAAATGTTAGTTTAAGGTTAAAAAGCTGGTGTGCTCCATTAATTCCTGCAGGCCCAACAAAGGTAGCCTAGAAATTTTAGATAAATGGGACAAATGGTGGCTTTCTAGAAACATGTAAGAAACAAAATATCCACAGAACCAAATAAAAGCCTTCCACTTAGGAACTTCAAAAAAATTCATGGTTTTGTATATTTGCATACACAAGCAAAGCCCAGGGGAGAATAAACAGCAAACAAATGAAAACTAGAAACAAAAAACAGGAAACCAACCCTAAATTTTCCTACTCAGTCTATCCTGGAGGCTACAATGTTACCCAAAAAACCCACATAATGAATATTTTATTACTAATACACAATTCCATTTCCTTAAGTTCACCAATGTCATTATACATCCTGTGCAATCAAGAAATTCACTCTCGGCACATGACCAATAAGTACTTCAGTGCCAGCACTATCCATGCAAAACAGTAAACATGGTGTGAAGCAATGTGAGCACGTATGTGAAATTTGGCTCCACACTAAATCCAGCTTCAGGCTTAACTACATTTAAAGAAAGAATTGCCAAACTGCTGATGCATTTCTTTACAACATTTTATTTTAATCAAGAGTAAGAGCTTTAACTGAAAACATTAATTAGCCAAATGTCTCCAATTCTCTATCAGGTTTTAAATAATATTTTATAATCTAACATTTTTCCACATCTTTCTCCCTTACTTACTGGTTCCTTACTAGGTTGTTTCATAAATAACCTTTTCACATCTGTAATCTGAACTAACTTTTAGATAACCTCTGAGTTACACAAAATTATTTGTGTTCTCACTAATAACATAAACTTTTTGGGCACATTTTGTTTACAGAATGATGTGTTAACTAGAATTCTTAGTAACCTAACAACTTTAGCAAAACCCCAAAAAGCAAGAAATCCTGTGCCATCAGATGTGGGCATCCCATATCACAGCCCTTTCTTTATTGGAAATGACCCAGATATTAAATGAGCATCAAAAATAACTTTAAGCATTTAATTTACACAAAAAGTTTACCTAAAAATTTATCCAATTCACTGTGCTCAATTCTTTCAGCTTTAACAAGGGAGATGTGAGACATCAGTCAACATATGTAAAATGAACATTATTTCAGTCCGGAAAAGTGGGACAACTCCAAGCAGGGAGGAGGCTTCCTGGTCACAGGTAGGTGAGAGACGACAGATGCATTCTCTCTGATCAGAGTTTCTGATTAGCCTTTATCTCAGTGAGCAGAGGGATGATGACTTTGAATAAAATGGGATGCAGATTTGCCCCAAGCAGTTCCTAACTTGAATTTTCCCTTTAGCTTAGTGATTTTGGGGGCCCAAGATATTTTCCTTTTGCAGAGTTCTCTCATTTGTCAAAAAAAAAAAAAAAAAAAGGTCATGCAAACCAAGATCATTTTGTTTTGGCTGGGTTTATAATTTTATAATCTTCTTTGCCAAACACTGACATCTCAAAATATCTAGCAAAGACAAACATAAAACCAAACAAAAATGTATGCCGACAGTTCTGAAGGCATTTCTGTTTTTATTTTACCAATAATTTTAAAGCCAGCTTGTTTAGTAAAGTTATACTTAACTCATGTGAACTTGAAGATTGCTTAGACTTACTTAATTTATGAGCGCTCTTATAAGCCAGTTTGGTAAACACAACATACAACAATAAGTGTACATACAAATAAATACATCTAGACCTGTATACACATACATGAACGAAGATCCAATAGCTTGGAACTCTGGCTATGACACAGCAATACAAGCTCACTGCTTTCACTTTGCTTGCTGCACTAGATAATCCAGTGATGGCTGTGAATCAAAATTTTGGGTAAAGCTGTTTCCATGGGAGTTTGATTTTTAAAGGCCAAACCTCCCCAGACTCCAAAGAACACTGTGGCCAAATAGCACCAAAGGAGAGCATAACACGTTAACCAGGCCCCTGCTTAGAATAGCAGCACAAAAGCCTGGATACGTGCAATGCCATCCCACTTTCCCATTCAGCAGCTAACTCAATTCCAAACAATATTGGAGCCAGCCAGTATTGAAACTGCAAGAGAAAGTTCTAAAGAGAGTTTAGTACTAGACTTCAGAACCTCTGCCAAGGGTGTCCCCTTTGTAGAGGTTGAGGTCCAGAGGATCCCCTGGGGTGTCCCCCTTTGGAGTCCAGTCTTAGAGTGTCAGACATCTCTGACCTTAGATGGGCACTGGTGCTGCTTTGCATACTTTCCCTCCCGAGGTGATGACTTACTGTGAGCTTCCCTTTGCTACCTGTATATAATCCCCAACTTTTAGCATCCGTATAATTTGATAAGGCCCCACTTACCCATGTTTCTCGTTCCACAAGAGTTACAGCTATAAACTGTAATGACAGGAATTGGAGGCTGGGTGGGCTTCTTTTGTCCTTAGCCAGTTGCCTAGGGGAAGGAAAGAATTTAGCATAAGGAAAGGTTTAAGTCACCTGAAACGTGCACCACACGTAGGAATCAGGGACCATAACCAGGAAAGATAGAAAAGAGAGTTTCAGAGTGGCCCTGGCCAGAAATCCGCAGTTGTCTCTGTGTTTAGCTGCTGCCCACCAAGGGTCCTGGGGTGAAAAAGAAAAGAGAGACAGAGAGAGAGATGCCCTTTTATGGAACAGAAAGGAAAAGGTGAAAAATAAATCCCAAACTTTGGGCTTACCTCCTAGCCAGCTCACCAAAATGTGTTACTGGTTGAACGGTGTCCAGGTTCTTGGTGTCTTCAACAAAGAATTGGATAAAATGCGCAAACCAAGGAAAGAATAAAGCAACAAAAGCAGAGATTTATTGAAAACAAAAGTACACTCCACAGGGTAGGACCGGGCCTGAGCATGGGGGCTCAAGACCCCTATTACGGAATTTTCTGGGGTCTAAATATCCTCTAGAGGTTTCCACTGGTTACTTGGTGTATGCCCTATGTAAATAAAGTGGATTAAGTAAAGTTACGAAGTCATTTACTTAAAAATGGCTTAGACTTACCGAGTACACTATAGCTCAGTGTATGCCCTATGTAAATGGAGAGGATATTTCCTGTCATAGCTGAAGTGTTAACATTTGATTTAGTTCTAGGAAGTTGGTGTGAATCAGTCTTATGTTCCCTGTCTCCAGACCCCATTCTCCTGCCTGAGAAGGGCAGGTCAGGTTCAGAGAGCTTCTGGAAGGCTGAACATATGGAGCTTCCTAGAGAGTAGCCTGCCCAGAGAAAGCATGGAAGCTCTGTGCTCCTTTCCCAATACCTCACCCCATCTGTCTATTTACCAATATCCTTTATGATAAACTGGTAAACATGTGTTTCCCTGATTTCTGTGAGCTGCTATAACGTATTAATTAATCAAACGCAAAGGGGAAGTTGGGGAAACTCCAGTTTAGAGCCAGTTGATCAGAAGCACAGGTGAAGCGCCCTGGGGCTTGCAGTTGGCTTTAGAATTGTGGCCAAGTCTTCAATCTGTGTGATCTGATGCTATCCCCAGGTAGACAACATAGAATTGAGCTGGAGGACGCCCAGGTACTGCTCTGTGCAGGGTTGCTTTGCGTCCTGGCTGGCTGGTGGGGAGAAATCCTCACACATCTGATGTCAGAAGCGCACCATAAGAGGATAGTGGAAGAAACTGAGTTTAATTCTTCCTCTCATAACCCCATAGCTTTTTTTCCCCCTGTCTCAAAAGCCTCATTTTGAATCTATATTTCTTAAAGTTTACAACCTTTCAATCTCATTTCTCACAATAACTCTTATCAAAGAACCTAGGTCTCACCATGAGAGAAAACAGCCCATCTTCCCCCTGAAATATTTATTTACTGGCATTCAGTTTGGCTAGTGTGCTAAAATGATTAAGCCATATGCAGCTGTCCTTTTTGTGGGTTGAAACTGGGTCAAATAGCAATTCAGTCTCATTTTGGTAAAATGTAAGGGCTTAGTGACCCATAGGAATATTATTGGAAGTATTTTTATTGCTATAGCACTTAAATAAAAATAATTCCATTTGTTGCTGAAATTTTTATTAAAAGAGTTGCGCGTGTGATAGTAATTAAAATATTCTGTTGTAAAGTGTCATTCATTTCATTGAGAAGAAATGTTATTATAACTAAAATACAAAGTCAGTGCAATGGAATTAAGACTTTCAGGTAGAACATAAAGACTAGTTTCTGATGTGCGACAGACAAGATGTATCAGGCAATTAAGGAGATTATTTTATTCAGGCAGTTGCAATAGGGAGAATGTTTACTAAGGGGAAACTTCCAAAGAGGAAGGAGAAAAGGTAGGGAATAATAAGACAAGGGAGTCAGTGAGGAAGGGTGGAAATAGGTCCTATATGGGAATTGTAGACAGTGGGTTGGTCCTTTCTGGTTAACCATTTCTTGGGTTAAAAAAGGGTATGGTGGTTATCCCTCCTGGCCTTCCGAGAGCACAGGACTGAGATAAAGTACGCACTGTCAGATGGGACAACATTGCCAACATTTATGTTCATCAGTCGTGGGATGCATACCACAGTTTGAAAGTGGGATTCAGAGAAAACGTATCAAAAGTTTCATTCTTAACTTTGAAATCTATAGATTTCTTAATGTTTATTTCTTCATGAAAGGACTCAAACAGGGCAGCTTTGTGTTGTGGCGTAATCAACAACTGAAATTCCTTAGAGACCAAATCAGGGGAAGAAGCCAGGCATTAAAGACTAACACTAGGATAGTGGGCCATATTGTAGACGAAGACCCAGTATAAGTGGTAGCCTTCTGAAGTTTTTTGGAAGTTAAAGATGGGAAGGGTGTCTATAAATGGGTCAGGGCAGAGAAGTCTGATTTTATTAAAGGGTAGATTTCAAGAGCGCAAAATCACAACCCATATAAAATGACCACATATCAAAGATTTTATTTACCTTATTAGTCAGGGAACCAGGCACAACCTGTTTAAAGGAGCAGTAAGAAAACCACGAATCTACATGGGGTGAAGGAATGTTAAAATGAGTTTACAAATGGAAGCAAAACTGATTTTTTTCCGCTGGGGAGAGGGTTGCCTCTTTACCAGACAGTTATTCACATATCTGTAGACAAGAATTATTTGCCTTCCCATCTGTTATCTACAGTTTAGAGGTGTGAAATAGCTCAAAGGCAATGAAAGGCGCAAAGCCCCCCTCCTCCCCAAGGTCAGATCATTCCCAGAGGCTCCAGCATTCCATTGTCATGATATTCAGCAATCTCTTTTGCTTATGCCAAAGTCCTAAGTTTTTTCTTTCCATACTCCCTCTATAGTAGCTACTTGCAGCTTCTGATATTGATTCATTTTAAATTGGAATTTCATCAGCATCAGCAATAGCCATAATCTAGTTTGACCGTATGGCAGTCTAACTTTAAAATTGTGTCTATAAATTGGAGGTGAAGGTTAATGGATTTGAATTAGCTCAGTGGTTCTCAACTGGAGTGGTTTTGTCCCCCAGGGGACATTTGACAATGTCTGCAGACATTTTTTGATTGTCAAAATCTGGCAGGTCAGGTGGGACGGGCTTTGGGCATCTAGAAGGTAGAGGTCAGGAATGCTGCCAGACATCTTAGAGTGCACAAAGCAGCTACCCACTACAAAGTTATCTGTCTCCAAATATTAATAGTGCCAAGGTTAAGAAACCCTGATAGCCATTGAAAACTGTTAGAGGAAAGTTCAAGTTTGTGCTGCGTTAAAATTAAACTGATTTTATGCTCTTAAATCTGTATGGAAAGCATACTTTTCATTGTTACGATCTTGAAATAATGTTCCTGTTACAATTTTCCATTCTAGAAATTAAGCAGTCAGCATTCCCTTTAACTTAAGAGACTTAGTGATTAAGTGGAAAGAGTTGCTTTCTCTTGTGATAAACGTATAGCACTTAGAGTTTTTAAATTTTCCTATTTTAGGTTTCACTGAAGAAACATCTTAGAGATTTATCGCACTTCTGAGATTTAATATTTACAACTTGGAGTTGTCAACCTTCTTGTAAGATACATTTTGGAAGTCAAAATGAAAGTTTTCTGTGAAGTTTTAGAACAGCTATACAAGAAGGTACTTCTTGGAGCCACACCTGAAAATGACAGCCATGATTACATCTTTTATCTCAACCCAGCAGTTTCAGATCAAGATTGCTCTACGGCCACCTCCTCAGAACAGGCAAGCCCTGGCATCCACGGCCAACATCAGCCCATCTCTGTCGGTTTGGCTCCCATTGCTGTAGCACCCGCGTGTTTGAAGAGCAACTCTCAGATGAGCAGTTCCAGAGAAGTAACGCTCCTTCAGTTGACAGTGATCAAAGTGATGACGACTCGAATATTGTCTGTCAAAACTGATTTCCATGCAAAGGAGAAATACAGAGATATCATTAAAATTCTCTTAGAATCAGTCGAAGTTGATTCTAAATTAGTAAGCCATTTATTTTTTTAAAGATCTAGATTATTAAAATAAAAATGCTAACATTCAGCAGTAATGGTTAATTGTATTTGTTTTCCTGTAGATCTGTATGTTCCAAAATTCAGATAAATTGTTATCTCACATGGCCGCACAGTGCCTTGCATTGCTTCTATATTTCCAATTGAGAGAAAAGGTAAGATAAGTCATCAAAGTATGTTATTATTTCTTTCTTAATATTTTTTTAATTTAAATTTTTTGTGGTGACTAGGTCTCACTGTGTTGCCCAATCTGGTCTTAGACTCCTGGGCTCAAGCAATCCTCCTGCCTCAGCCTCCCAAAGTGCTGGGATTACAGGCAAGGGCCATGGCACCCAACCTACTTCTCTTATAGCTTCTTTTTTTCTGTTTTTGAGATGAAGTCTCCCTCTGTTGCCCAGGCTAGAGTGCAATGGCATGATCTTGGCTCACCACAGCCTCCACCTCCTGGGTTCAAGCGATTCTCCTGCCTCAGCCTCTCAAGTAGCTGGGACTACAGGTGTGCACTACCATGTCCAGTTAGTTTTTGTATTTTTAGTAGAGATGGGATTTCACCGTGTTGGCCAGGCTGATCTCAAACTCCTGACCTCATGATCCACCCACCTTGGCTTCCCAAAGTGCTGGGATTGCAGGCATGAGCCACCGCACCTGGCCTCTCCGATAGTTTCTTTAAAATTCTTTTTGACATTTGATTTTATTCTTTAAATATTTGTATTAATAAGACATTTGCTCACATAATAACATATATAAAACCATAATGCCTCAGCATAATGAAAAAAATATAAACAAATTCAGTCAAGTTTTTTTCTAATCTCTGAATTAGTTAATAAACAAATGAAGCATCTACTGACTTTTCAACTAGAATCTCTTGCTTTTTTCAATAACTTTTTTTCTGAATAGAAAAAGTGATGTTACAACAGAAAATTTGGAAAATAAAGTATAAAGAACAAAATAAAAAATTCACCACTTAGAGATAACACTACTAACATTTTCATATTTCATTTCTATTTTATTTCTGTGGCATATTCAATTTTTTTACTTAAATAATAGGATATTTCTGTTTCTTCTCTGTTTGCCACATATCTTCTTTTGGGCAAATGAGTAAACAGTGTGGTATACAGTTATATTATGTAAAGAAAATACTGTATTTTAACTACCTTCGTTATTTTCTCACTCGTAGATTACCTTAAGTAATTCCTGGATTGCTTTTTGCCAGAAAAATCTCTCTGAATACTCTGAGAGTAATAAAGCAATGTACTGCCTCTGGACTCTTACAGCAGTAATAAAAGAAATCTTTAAAGATTCATGTTCACACAAAGCAGGTATGGTTTACGTGGCCCTATAAACAATCGTCTTTCTCCTGGGAGCACTGTGTTTATAATGAGGAATGAAACTTACTTTAGAATATCTGACCTGTCTTAAAGTATGAAAAACTCAATCTCTTCTCTTATATTTTGATTGAGGATAACTTTTTGTTTTTGTTTTTGTTTTTTGAGATAAGTCTTGCTTTGTTGCCCAGGCTAGAGTCCAATGGCACAATCTCAGCTCACTGTAACCTCTGCCTCTTGGGTTCAAGTGATTCTTCTGCCTCAGCCTCCCGGGTAGCTGGGATTACAGACGCCCGTCGCCAAACCCAGCTAGTTTCTGTACTTTTAATAAAGACACAGGTTTTGCCATGTTGGCCAGGCTGCTCTCAAACTCCTGACCTCAAGTCATCCACCCATATCGCTCTCCCAAAGTGCTGGGATTACAGGCATGAGCCACCATGCCTAGCCATAAAATGAATTTTAACTGTAGTTATTAGCCATTAATCTGTGTCACCTCATGTGTTAATGTTAGAGGTAAACATTCCAAATCTATTTTTCCATCTTATAAAGTGATATTTATAAAAACTAAATTGTAAAATTGTTTGAAGGAGACTGTTTTCCCTGTTTATAATAACTATTTTTATAATTGCAGAAATTCTAAAGCAGTTCCTGACTCATTTCAACACGATTTTTGAAGCGTTTTACAATTCCTTATTCTCTCAGCATTTTGAAAACTGCCAAGATACGTCTAAAATAGTAAACATCCTGATGTGTTTCCTGGAGTTGCTTGAGCTTCTCATAGCCTCCAGAATCTACCTGAAGTTACATTTCACTTCCCAGAGGATTTTATTTTGGAAGCCAACTTGCGTGCTAGAAGTTATTACATGGCCTATTCAGGCTTTTGTCAAAAGAAAGTTCATTATATTCCTCAAAAAGTGCCTTCTCTGTAAAGTGGGTGAAGACCTCTGTAGTAGATCTGTGCCTGCCTTCATGCCACCAGACCATCAGGTAGCAGTGGACATGCTGGCATTAGCTAATGCTGTTTTGCAAGCTGTGAATTCAGGGTTGTTGAAGACACTGTCTGTTCATGGAAAACATTCCTTTTTTGGAGGTGATGAAGTTCAACCTGGATGTGAACATATCTTTGGTCCAGATCATGTGATCCTTAGAGCAGCAAGCTTAATTATAATGAAATCCTTAGAAATCAAGTTTCAAAATTGTTCTTCGGCAAGTGAAATGAAAGGTAATTCTCCGAACTCCTTTTGTATGCAGTGTGTAATTATTTACTGTATAAGTACAGTAATTCATAATTATCAAATCTCAGGACTAGTATAAATTCCACTAATTTAAGTTGTACGTTAGCCTATTTATAACTTACTACATTTTCCAAAAAAAAAGAGAACTGGATTTACCTTTAAGAAACATGTCAGCTTTTTGTGGCCACAAGGAATTTGTAGAGCATAAGGAACGATTTAGGTTTAAAAAAATTGCTGATGAGTCTTCTCAAAGCAAGTGATGGAAGTCAATTCATATTCAAATATTTATAGTATTTTGTTTATATTCTTTTTTTTAATCGAAAGTGCAGGTGCACGACCATGGGCCACTGCAGCCCTGACCCCCCTGGGCCCAGGCTATTCCTCCCATCGTAGCCTGGCAGGCCCCAGCCTGGGAGGTCAAGGCTAAAGTGAGCCACGCACGATCCATAGCACACCTGCACTCCAGCTCTGGTGCCACAGATGGAGATCTGTCAGAGAGATTAAAGAAAAATGTGTTCACTCCCACTTACATGTTTATTGTTATCATAGTTTGTCATTTCTTTTTTTTTTTTTTTTTTTTTTTTTTTTTGAGACGGAGTTTCACTCATGTTACCCAGGCTGGAGTGCAATGGTGCGATCTCGGCTCACCGCAACCTCCGCCTCCCGGGTTCAGGCAATTCTCCTGCCTCAGCCTCCTGAGTAGCTGGGATTACAGGCACGCGCCACCATGCCCAGCTAATTTTTTTGTATTTTTAGTAGAGACGGGGTTTCACCGTGTTGACCAGGATGGTCTCGATCTCTTGACCTCGTGATCCACCCGCCTCGGCCTCCCAAAGTGCTGGGATTACAGGCTTGAGCCACCACGCCCGGCCATTTCTTTGTTATTATTATGTTTACTGTTTGTTTATTTTGAGACAGGGTCTTGCTCTGTTGCCCAGGCTCACTGCAGCCTCAAGCGATCTCAAGCTCAAGCGATCCTCCTGCCTCCGTTTCCCCACCCCATTTATATTAACCCTTCATACAATTAATATTTCTACTGACATAGATTTTTGAAAATTAGATACTGAACTGAAGGTAATATATGAGAAATTACACTGACGAAGAAATTGTTACATATATAATTTCCACGATAGTAACTCCGGAGTTCAAAGTCTTCCATTTTACTTGAGGAAAATGAATAGTAAATGTCTCTAAACAAGCAGCATACAGATTCAGTGAAAAATCTGAATTGTGAGCAATGACATCACTGAATTGCTTTTGATATAATTTAGCTTTTAATAGCTACACATTACTTATAACTCTGTGCAGTTATAATTTGTAACACTAGATGGCACCTGTTATATAATTCAGTTTTAAATTATAGTTGAAACTCCCTAAAATGTTGTTTATTTTTGTGCTTAATAGTACTCCTATGCTCTAAACAAACAACAAATATATTTTTCTGTTATTCTGAAGACAAAACTATTTCTGCCCGGTTGCATTCTTGCCTCTGGTAACAGATAACTCTGGCATCTGATGAAGTGATCTCTGTTGTCTGCTCATTTATTTATCTGTTTTTAGCAAGAAACCACATAACTTTTATTTCTAAGAGACAGTTATGTGGCAGTTGTTGCAAATAGTTGATCTAGCTGTACATTTTGCACGTATGCACTCTGGAATGAGTGACTTTTCTTTCCCTGAGCCTCAGTGTCCTCATTTGCCAAAGAGAGATGATTCCTAACTGATTCCTGATGACTTTTTGAAAGTGAATTAGGATAATTGCATCTTAAGGTACTTTAGACGCTGTGAGTTTATATATAGGCAAGATATTATTAATGTGTTCATAAACTATTGCCTACATTTTGAAATTTGCATTTTTTTAAGTTGACTTGCAGAGGTTCATGTCTGAGTTACTGACCTTCTTAAAGCCTCACCTTCAGCCCTCTCTGCAATTACATAATCCGTGCAAATGGCTGTCTAGGGTTTTCATAGAACAAGACGATGACATGCTGGAGGCTGCAAAGGCATCACTGGGCATCTACTTAACCCTGACCAGGTTAGTGTGTTTTAGAATAATTATTGAACTCCCTGCAAGTCAGGAAAGCAGAAGACATTTCTGAGAATGTGTTGGGCATGTTATTTACTTTGCATCATTTGGGGGAAAACATACTGTGGTTTCCTCATAAGTTCCAGTTCCTTTCTTTAACCCTGACTTACGTGAAAAGGAGATTGCATTTTGTATCACTGTGAAAACTTGGCTGACTGGGCAGATCTCAAGTAGTATAACTAGATTGGGACCTGAAAACATGGCTTCTGATTTAGTCTCCAGTAAGTCAGTACACTTCTCTGAATCTTGATTGTTGTTAATATAAGACCTCTTTTCACCCCTAAGACTTACTTTTCTGTATTAAGCTTCAGTAGCCTTTGTAAAGGTGAATACAAACTTAGAAATAGTCAAAGGAGCTGTTCTGAATATTCATTTTAATATTCAGTCAAATTTGGGCTGATACCTTCTTGAGGCAAATGTCTGAAATTGGTTAAGTTCATGTACTGATGATTTATACTGATTATTTCTGCTTTATTAAAATAGCTGTACTTGGGATAATATCTTCTTGTGGCAAATAGCTATAATTGGTTATGAAGCTAATAACTGATGACCTTTGCCAGTGTTTCAGCTTCTGCTTTATTAAAACCCTAAAATATTTGCTTTATTTCCCTTTCTTTCTTGGCCTGGGAGAAAGGGATTTCATGCTAATGATCTGTGGTGCGGCGTTGTGCTGCCAGTACTTACTTGTATTATGACACTGCTGGCAATGGCTGCTTTTAGACTCTTAAGTGTTTGGGGCCAATTTTCAAAAGGTTCTAATCAAGAACACAAAATTCCTGCATGTGATTTGAATTAGGTTCAAAACAGTCAAATACAAATTCAGTCTGAAAATGCACATGCCTTAATTGTACTCAAAGTTAGCTTCTTACTCCTCAGGAAGCGGAAACCCCTGAATTAAACTTACTTTGTATGTGAATTTCCCACTTTCTTAACTCCAGTTCAGTGTGTCCAGAGAGGCATGTGCTTACAACATAGATACTTTTTTCACATGTAGTTGTATTTGTTAAGATTTTTTTTTTGTTGTAAATTATAGAAACCAACTCAAACTAATTTAAGCAAAAACCAGAATTTATTGGCTCATAACTAGGAATTCGAAAGGGTCAAGTTGGAGTCAGGTATTAACTATATGTACAGGGACTCTAGCCATGTCATCAATTACTTCCCTTTTTCTCTGTCTCACAGCTTTGAATTCATTCTCAGGCATGGCAACCAGCAGTTTAAGGCTTACCTCAGCCTTGCAGTTATAATCTTCCACAGCTCCAGCAGAAGTCCCAGGGGCAATCTGATTAGCCCATTTGGGTCACAGAGCCTTGTCAGAACCAGTCACTGTGGCCAGGAGCATGCAGTGCTCTGATTGGTCAGTCTGGGTCACATGCCCACCCTTGCTGAGGTGGGTAAGGAAGGAGGTTTAGGAATTATCTTACCACGTGAAATTGGTTACCTGTAAGAATGAGGAATTCTGATGTCAAGAAAAAGGATGACAGAGAACTTGTATTGGGCAGACAAAAGCTAGAACTGCCAAAGTCAGTGGATTGTGCTTTACTGAGTCAGATTTATTTAGAGTTTATGGAGAAAGGAGTGGGTTTTGAAATTTTTTCTTTTAATGCATAGATTTAAAAGTAATCTAATAGGTTAATTTGTGGTATATGAATTATATCTGTTAAAACTGTTTATTTTTGTAAAGTCCTTAATCTGGATGCTCCATTATCTCCATTTTCAGAGGATGTGAAGCCACTGAAAGCTTGACTCAGGGAAAGGAAATGTGGACCCATCACACACATGAAAATGGCTATAATCCTCACTGTATTTTCCTATTCTTCTTAGGAAATATAGGATTTGATTCTACAGTTCTTCTTGACTTTCTGATTTCATCAGAAACCTGTTTTCTTGAATATTTCGTTAGATATTTAAAATTACTGCAAAAGGACTGGGATAATTTTTTCACCATTTGCAATAACTTTGATGCAGCTGAATCTAAATATGATATGAGTACTTGTGACTGTGTCCCCTCACTTGTCCAAGACCAAAGCACCAACCAAACAATACCCCATCGTTTGACTGCTCCTCATAGTCACATAGAGGTGTGTGCCTGCCACTCCCAGGCTTCTGATGCTCCCTCTGAACCACTGAGAGCTGCGACGTCCAAAGGTAATCACCCCATGTGCACTCCTAGTCTGTCTTCCCCCCGGGCTTCTCAAAGTCTGGTAGATTATGACAGCTCTGATGATTCTGAAGTAGAGTCCACAGACCAGTGTCTAGCTAACAGTAAACAGACATCTTTATACCAACAAGGAACTAAAGAGATTCAGGACGCAGCTGTGACAAGCAGGGATGAAAAAGAATTTAGCCTTGAGCCTCCATCAAGACCTCTGTTTGCGAAAGAATCTGATACTGCCTTCTCCTTTGATTGTGAAGTAGTCCCAAATGATGTCATCTCTGCAGTGGGAGTATTTTACAGAACAGTTAAATGCTTCAAAGAACTACAAGGTGCCATCTGCCGTTTGCAAAAGAAAAATCTTTTCCCATATAATCCAACTGCACTTTTGAAGTTGTTAAAATACATAGAGGTGATAAGTAATAAAACTATGAACACTTTGTAAAACATTGGCATTTTATTTTCAGGAATTGTTTTTCCGTAATATAAATTGTGTCTCAATGAGATAATAGTATGAAACAATCACCACAAAAGGGTTTTCTTTTCTTTCTTTCTTTCTTTCTTTTTTTTTTTTTTTGAGATGGAGTCTCCCTCTGTCACCCAGGCTGGAGTGCAGTGGCATGATCTTGTCTCACTGCAACCTCTGCCTCCTGGGTTCAAGCAATTCTCCTCCCTCAGCCTCCAGAGTAGCTGGGATTACTGGTGCCCGCCACCACACCCAGCTAGTTTTTGCATTTTAGTAGAGATGGGGTTTCACCATGTTCCAGACTGATCTTGAACACCTGACCTCAAGTGATTCACTCGCCTCAGCCTCCCGAAGTGCTGGGATTACAGGCGTGAGCCACTGTGCCCGGCTGGATTTTCTAAACAGGTTCCTACTTTTTGCCTTATTGTAAGCAACCTAGTGAATGAAAAAGAGACATCAAATGACAAGTCCCCCAGTACAGCTGTATACTGTTGGAGATTTATGCCAGTTCAAACTGACAGAAAATCAGGGGTGGTTATTATATTTGTTAACTAGGGCTTCTGTAACAACCTGCCACATGTGCCGTGGCTTCAGAGACACCTGAAATTACTCTCATGGTTCTGGAAGCCAGAATCCACACTCAAGTTGCAGCAGGGCCATGCCGTCAGGGTCTGGAGAAGAATTCCTCCCTGCCGCTTTCTAGCTTCTGGCAGCAGCCAGCCATCCCTGGTGTCTCTTGTCTTGTATCAGTGTCGCTCCAGTTCCTGCCTCATACAGCATTTGCCTGTGTCCAGTTTCCCTCCTACAGGGACATTGGTCATTGGATTAGGACCCACCCTCATCCAGTATGATCTCAACCTGATTACAGCTGCAAAGACCCTAATTCCGGATAAGGACACTTTCATGTGTTCTTGGTGGACTTGAATCCAGGAGGAACACAAAACAAATATAATTACTATTTCCCTCTGGGGTATTTACCCAGCAAGAATATATTAAAAATGTAAAACCTTAGCAGTTTCTTTGAGAAGTGCTTATACTGTATGAATATGATTCTTTTTTTTTTTTTTTTTGGGACGGAGTTTCGCTCTTGTTACCCAAGCTGGAGTGCAATGGCGCGATCTCGGCTCACCACAACCTCCGCCTCCTGGGTTCAGGCAATTCTTCTGCCTCAGCCTCCTGAGTAGCTGGGATTACAGGCACGTGCCACCATGCCCAGCTAATTTTTTGTATTTTTAGTAGAGACGGGGTTTCACCGTGTTGACCAGGATGGTCTCGATCTCTTGACCTCGTGATCCACCCTCCTCGGCCTCCCAAAGTGCTGGGATTACAGGCTTGAGCCACTGCGCCCGGCCACATGCATATTTTATACATGCACAAAAACATATGCAAGTATGTGAATGTGTATTACTCCTGCCCTGATGCTTTTCCTAAACAATTGCAAGCCCCATGTTTTACTTGTTTTTCACTGGAGATGTTTTATATCCACAAACATGCATAAAACCCATTATGTGCACAGGCAAATAACATTCCACTGGATATACAAATTCTGACTTACTTAACAGGTATTTCTAGTGAAGCTCTAAATAAAACCTTAAAAATGTTTTTTACAAACAATGTGGCATCTTTGGATGCACATACTTTGACATGCTTTTTAAATTATGGTAGAAACTGCCTCAATGCACATCCTTACCAACAGCAATGTTAAATGCAAACCTTTTAACCTTTGCATTTCTATTTGGCTAACACTGGCACTTCACTGTTATTTTAATCAGCAACCTTCTATTTAGCACCACTGACTTTTCCATTTCTACCTGAATAAGTACTAAACTGTTTCTATTACCATAGCCTTAATATATATTTCAATATCTGGTAGGTTTAGTCTTTGTTCTGTTTCTCTGCAAAGGGATCATTAAAAAAACAGAAATTTACAGGCAATATTTTAGACTGCTTTAATGCCAGACTTAGCAGCACAATACACTTATTGCTCCTATTACACAAACCCAATAAACATATTAAAATTGAATTTACTGCTTCCCCTCAAGAATATAGAACATTATTAATGTCACAATTTTATTTTTTTATTATAGTACGAAAGTACTATAAAAACAGTACAAATTCTCATCTTTTTGTACTATTTTTAGCTGGATACATCCAGCACTGCGTTAGGATATTTCAGTCAATGACAGCCCACATACTACAGTGGTCCTGTAAGACGATCATGCCGTTATTTTTACTGTGACTGTCCTGTGCGTAGATACACCCGTACTTATTATTGTGTTACAGCTGCCTGCAGTATTCAGTACGGTAACATGCTCTGTCCAGGTTTGCAGCCTAGGAGCAACAGGCTATACCGTACAGCCTAGGTGTGTAGTAGGTTATGCCAGCTAGGTTTGTTGAGTGTACTTTGTGACATACATGACATCACAAGACAACAAAATTGCCTTACAACTCATTTCTCAGAACATGTGCCTGTCAAGTGACACATGGCTAATTGTTTTTTAATGGAAATAACTAGGAAAAGAAAAAAAATTGACTGTTGTTCCTAAGGGTACATAAATGTTGACGGCATTATAACGCATGGCTATGCAGATGTGGTTTTGACCTGTGTTTCTCTATAAGGTTAGCAAGAAACTCAGTCCCTTACTACATGTAAAATGAGGAAAAGCAATCATAGAGGTATGCTAAGTTGGTATTTCAGAATCTCTACACGTATAACTAACTTGAGTGTAAGTCAATTCATCACACACTCACTAAGCCCTGCTCTTGCTAAAGGTGACCCTTGGCTGTGTGATTACTATCCTTGGCCTTTCTGGGTATCTAAGAGCTATTCTCAGAGTTAGGTCATAAAGGAACACAAAACTGTCGATATATGTCTGCACAGTGAGTTCCCAGTGTACAGCACAAGAGCAGTCTGTAACCTCGCCCCTTCCAGTAAAAGCATATGGAAGCACAAGTGAGCACACGGTGCCGTGCCTGTAACTTACTTGTTTTAAAGCAGAAAAGATACAGAAAAGTGCACTGTAAGTATACAGCATGTTAAATTTTCAGAAACAGCACACCTGTGGAGCCAGTCCCCAGATCAAGAAATAGCATGAGGCACCCAGAACTCCCCTCCCTTGAACCCCCTCCCTGTCACTGTCCACCCCGAAGGTACCTGTATCCTGAACTGAGACAATAGAGATGACCTTTGCCTGGTTTCGTCTTTTATATAAATGGAGTCGTAGATTATGTATTCTTTTGTTCAATATCATTTGGGAGTGTGTACTGGTTTATTTTTAAAATATCAAGTACCCACATTTTAGCTATTATTAGTAACAAAATACTTCGACTCCTCATAGCTCTCTGACACACCCAGTACGCTAGCACAGTGAGATTGATAAACACTGGTCAAACATTAAAGCATATGCTAAACACGTTATGCAGGGCCTTGTGCAACTGGCCCTAATCTGCTTCTCCAGACTGGCTTTCTTCCCATCCACTGTTCCTTGCACAACTCTGGGCCCTCGCACATTCATTCTTCAAGCGTCCTCTTCAGTGTTAGATCTGTGAAGCCTCCCTCATCTGTTCTGCACCATTTAATTTTGCGTGCTCTATTCTCTGCACTTTGGTCTTTCCTCTATTGCAGCATTTGTCGCATTATATTTGAACCATAAGTCAACAGTCTTTCCATTTGCTAAGCTCTTTTTACATCATCACATCATAGGCACAGCACAAATGTTGAATAAATGAGAAGTGATTCTTCTCCAGGGATTTGATAATCTGCTGAAGGAGACAGAGAATTATAATCATTATCTTTACCTTGCACTTCCTGCTTGCCAGCTACTGTTGTAAGTGCTTTTCTAATTCTTTTAACACTGTTAGAAGGTGGGTCCCATTATGATTCCTGTTTTGCAGACATGGAGATTAAGTAGCTTGCCCAAGATCGCCCAGCCAGTAGTGGCAGAGCTGAGGTAATGGATTCAGGTAGCTGGGTTCCAACCTCTTCTCAGACACCCTCCATAATTTATTCCCTGCCTTCAAGACAGAAGATCATGGATGTACACTATTAAAACTAAAATTGTTGCAGCTTTGGATATGTGTGGTGGGTGGTGTAAGTCACACTATAAAATTATATTGGAATCAGGTCATCCAAGACCTAGGGTACTGTGCTAGGGAGTGTTGACTTTTCTGTAGGCAGTGGAGAGCTGATGAGATTTTTTAGTAAATGGCTGCTTTTGTGTTTGAAGAAAGTGACTTTAGTGGCAATATAATGGCTAGATGGAGAAGCACAAAGATTGGGAAGAGTCTATTGCAGAAATCCCACTGAAGGCAAGGGCAATGGGAATGGGATCCTGGCCTGGCTGAATGCTCACATCACTTTCTCTGCCTTCAGACACCCACTAACAACAATAAAGAGGTCAAATCACAAGCAACAAGACACAAGGACAAAATGGAAAGGAGAAAATAATTTTGGAAGCTCAAAGATAGGTAGGTTGAAAACTTGTAACCACCAAGTGGGTCCACCTTGCCTGCCCCCGAGACAGAGCCAATTTATCAAGACGGGAATTTCAATAGAGAAAGAGTAATTCATTACTCAAATAGGTCTTTCTGAGCATTCAAGGATGAGAGTTTTTTAGGATAATTTGGTGGGTGGGGGATGTGTGTCAAGAGTGTTGATTGGTTGAGTCAGAGATGAAATCAGGGAATTGAAGCTGTCTTCTTGTGCTGAGTCAGTTCCTGGGTGGGGGACACAAGATCAGATGAGCCAGTTTATTGATCTGGGTGGTGCCAGCTGATCCATCGTGTGCAGGGTCTGCAAAAAACCTCAATTGCTGACTTAGGAGCAGTTTAGGGAGGGTCAGAATCTTGTAGCCTCCAGCTGCCTGACTCCTAAACCATAATATCTAATCTTGTGACTAATTTGTTAATCCTGCAAAGCCAATCTAGTCCCCAGGCAAGAAGGGGATTTGCCTATTATATTTGTTTTAAACTATAAGTTCC